CTATCTGGGCTCCATCAAGCCAATTAAGAGGTGGAGGAGGTACAGGACGCTGACTTCATTGGCATCTCCATTCAGGTATGGTAGATGGTCCATGGCCACGGTTGATGCCGCTTCAATTGTTACTAGCTTTGTTGCAGAACACGAGATTTGGTAGTTACCGCAGGTAGACGTCGTGACAAATTCTCTCATCCACAGCCCATGTCCTTCTTCCGTTCTGTTAAGTACTGGCATTTAGCAAAAGTCATCAGGATGTCTGTCCTTTATGATCTCTGCCACCAATTTAGCGTCCTGCGACTTACCTGAAGGCAAAAGAAGGCATTATATTGGAGCAGAAAATATATTGCTGACGTAGCGAAGATCTGGAGGGCTGCTAGCATGACCTGGAGGCCATTACTCCTAGCATAGGTAAAGTAGCGGAGCCTCGAGTGCGCGCAAAACCGAAACGCGAATCTAAACAAACAACCATCGTATTGCACCCTTTACTGGTGTAGCTTAAATTGCTCTCCATCCATATCACTTTTCAGTTGAACTTAACCAAGTAATAATAAGGCATCCATCACTTTTTAAGTCTGTCATTTATTTTTTTATAAAAAAAATCAAAAAGGGAGGTTTTATTTTTACACCATGCAAAGTATTCTGCCATCTATTTTCTAACCCTGTACCCGTTAGCTGGTCGATGGTTTAGTAAATGCTGGAGTTGACAGTTAATGATGTTGTAGTGTACCCAGACAACCTGAAGACGAAGGAAGCCATACGACTTGGGCAGAATATGCAATGCTGTCTTGCAGAAGTGCATGGGGTTACTGGCGTAGCTCAGAGGTACAATGGCAGAGCCGGGATGTTCCCCGTTGTCACAACCGAGAGTTAAACAAGTGGTCAACATATTACGGGTGTTGAGGGGAGGCGAAATTAATGAGCATCCTCTCATAAACCGTCAAAGAATTTGATTTCTGACACTTTATGCTACCACAAAATATTGAAGCCATACTCAATAATGACTCTTTCACAAAAGTATGATATTGTAAAACATTTTCGTCTTCTTATACCTGTGAGGCAAGAAGCGATCAGTCAATTTTGACTCTCTAGACTGCTAGGATGTTATCGGCCCCTGAGAAGAAAATGGATGTCGAACCTCTATAGCCCCGATCTCCTCCACTCGTTTTATGGCACTAGCAGGTAAAAGATGCCCTCATTTAACCAAGGGTACGAAGGTGAAGGTGGAAGGGAGGAAGGCCTAAACATATTGCAATACAACCCTTCGTTACATGAAGGATCAGAAGTCACGGTCTCTTAAGACATTTTTAATTTACGTCGAATGTAGCTTCTTTGAAAGACTGAACTCGCACTTATATTCACAAATGAAGTTTGCAAATTTAGTACCTGCGGCGCTGCAAATCTTCCCCTAGGTCAAATGAGGTCATAATACTAGGGAAGTGGTTGCATTACTGCCGTACAGAAGGCCTTGCGGCTACTGGCATGGGCCGGGAGCCGCACCGCCCAGGGGAGGTATAAAAGCGGAGCCGTAAATACCAGCGTGACCAAAACGAAGAGTTAAACAGATCCTTAAAGTATTACACAAGATACAATGAATTATGAAGAGTTGTTAGCTCTTTTATTACCGCTCTAGCGCTTGTTTATAGCCTAATTTATCTTCTCAACATGCTTTTTAAAATTTAAAATTGCGTGGAGAGACATTTGCATCGGAAAAAATTAAATGCCACAGTCAAAGTTCGAGCAGTTGTTTATCCCCTTTCAAGAGGGTGGGAGGTGTTGAAGTGTCCTCACAACTTTAGTCGCCAGAAGCCAACTAGGTTTAACAGGCGTTTGTTTTCACTTCGGCAGTCCAAGTAACTGGCATTTAAACTTTTCAGCGCATTTAAGAGGGGTCAAACCTGAGAGGCATTTCTTCCGACGCAAATATAAGTATTTCTGGTCTGAATATGAACAATAAATGCTTGTAGCTGGGCTCCATGGCCAAAACAGCATTTAAACAGCTGCATTCGTTTGATTATCACACCTTTTTGACTTCTGCAAAATCCGAAAGTGGCGTAACAATTCGGCTTGACTAGCACTTAAGGCCCTGCATTATACTTCCTCGGGGCGGGATGTCATCTGGGCTATGCCAGTAGCTCCACAACCCTTCTCTACAATGGCACCATATTTTCTGTTTTGATGTTATGACTTCTTCAATCTTCGGCGAAGACTCAAAGAGCTACACTGATGACGACGATCCGTAAATGGGATTCTAAAGGCCAGCCACCCTGGTTTCCATCGATGGATACAAAGCCTTGACGTGACGGAAGAAGGCTATATGATGAGGAGAGGAGAATCCGTGATGTCCTTCAACACCTACCCCGATCCTGTATTCTACAAGAATGGAATTCACAACTAAAGAGACACTAGCCGTTGCCATAATCCATCTGGAAAGTTTAAAGTAGAGCTGTCAATGGCACCTGTATGAAGATGTCAATGAAGTGCACACGCGAAACCCCGTGCATTTTTCTTTTAGCTAAAGAGAAATTGAATGCATATATGGCTAAACGGCATTGCTGTAAATATAAACAGGTAAATATAACCAGATACAAAACCTTGCTTTCCATGAAACTATTCCAAAACCTAACCCTGCTTTTAGGTAAGTGTTCTCACTACTTACGGTGGACACATGAGATGGCCATCACATTTCCCCTTCCCCCAATGCAGTTTCCAAACAGGGATTAAGTTCAGCTGAAGTGGAGCTGACAAGAGGGACCGGTAAGGATGCGGTTAGATATCTTCCCACTTGCATACAAATTTGATGATTGGCACGGTTTATTCACCGGTATTTCTCCTACACCACCGACTACAGCGAGGAACGACGCTCAAATATGGAGAGGGCCTCTGTTATAGTTTGATAGTATTTGTCCGCTCGGCGTTTGGTTATGCGGACACCTGAGGCTCCGCAGATTGCACTTCCTCTTAGCCGACGTAGACTCCGGGCCGTACCAATTGCCTCTCAACCCCCTGTACGGCAGAATTACATTTTCTGTCATAGTGCTGTGGCTTCTTTTGACTTCGGGAAGGAATCGGTGTGCCACGGAGTGCCCCAAACATCAATGTTAGGTCGCAGGATTTTGAAATGGGTAAAAATGTAAGTCTTACAAATGAGAAGAATAAAGTGCGTAAGCGTGAGTAGCAAAATTTGCTTTCTAAATTATTGGTGATACGAGTAAAATCTGATATCCCTTTGAAATTTTTAATCTAAATTTCGTACATTTACTAGGAGACAACTTGAGTCACTTTACTACTTTGGTGTGAAAAAAAAATATATATATGCAAGTACTTATGAATGTATGAATGTATGCAGGCATTTTGGAATGTTTCAATACGATTAAGCATTTAAAAAGGAATAGCGCCATTTCAATCAAAAGGAACGAAAAGTTTAGCAGAAAACACACCCCAGATTGGAAGGAATAACCAGAGATTTTATTTATGTGAACTGGTCCATCCACAATGGCCTTTCTGCTACAGACTTAACCCTCCTGAGGGAGTTGGTTAAAGTGGCAGGTAAAATATGAAGCTGGGATTTCTAACAACTAATCTACGAAAACTAGACAGAATTTTAGTGACATCATTTGCCCGTGTTCCGTTCTTGCGAATTTAACCAACCACATTAATTTTTCCACAAAATAACTATAAACTTTGAGATTTAAGTACTCACAGATAGAAAAAAAATATTGAAAAATTATACTTGCATTTCGTGTACACTCGGAGCCTGTATTTTTGTTTTCAAGGAGTAAAATTCGGTCATTTAAAAGCCTGAGTCAATTAAAATTTTGTTCAAACTGCCGTAAGCAGTCTAAAGAGGCACACTAATTTCCCAACAAGTAGCAAAATGGCAAAATAGATAAAGGATACCATTTCCTTTGATTAACTTCAAAATTATCCTTCATTGAAGGATTTGCCTTGAGGCCAAATTCCCTACGAACAGATATTGCATAGCAGTTGCGGTCTTTGCGGTTACCACCCAACTTTGAGCTGTGTGATGCCGATAAATCTTACTTTATTAATGCAGTTCACAAGCAGTAAGAAACTGCAAAAAAATGTGGATCTTCTGAGTTTATTCTCAAGCCTTGTGATCAAGCGTATTTTCATGCAAACGACAATGTTATAATAGCTTAGGCCAAAGATTTCATTAGAAAAGTGTAATACAATAGTGGTTTATCCCTCGGTTCTGGTGAGGCGCTACTTTTGTACTTCGAATTAGCCCCCTTGTACCTCGCTGGGTGGGCTGGCCTTTTGGGCCATGCCAATAGCCCAGACACCTTCACCGTGCTGAATATATATATTCTGCCCGAGTATTGTGTCTTTTTTCGTCTTCAGGAAGTCCCGGGACGCTACAAAAAGGCTGATAACAAAAATTTACAAATCTATTGCTCTACATGGTGCTTGGTTTAACAGAACCGCCTACTGTGCGGATTCTTCAGCTACACGTTGTTACTCCAACTGGGGACGTGGGCCTCTGACCATGGTGGTATTATTCCAACCTTCCTGTGCACAAAAAATCACTATTTCTTTTTGTAGCAATATAGATCGCTGCAATTTCATAGCAGATTTAGGCTCCTGCAGAACCAACTGCCAGCAGTGCGAATGGTGCTTTTAAAAACTCATGTTATGGAGACAGTCATATAACTAAGAAAAAAGGATTTGTTAAAACACATTTTTAGCCAAGCACTAGCGTTGCACCCCAAGGATTTCTTGAGCACGATTATTAAGTAAGATTCAATGATATCTGAGAAAACCTACCATGTTACAAATCACCCCATCTGGTTAGTCACGGATAAAACGGATCTTGGAAAAAAAAGAGCACAACAAATATCTACCTTAAAATACTGTTTGATTATGTGTAAAAATCTTAGCACTTTTTGACAATTTGAATGATGTAGTTTATATCTTCTACAATGCAAGCCTTAAAGGTTGCCCAGCAGGTGCGGTCCCTTTGAACACATTTTGTAGTTCTGGGGATGTCAGGTGTCCAGTGGTTTTTACTCCGTATTTTATTTGACCTAATTGCGGTCACCCCATGTAAGTATTGTAAGTTCTTTTACGTTTTTCTTTAGTCGTGGTTGTTGCAGCCGTCGTGTACAAATTGGAGCCGTTTCAAAGGGGCTATTTTTCGAACGACAATTCTTTAAAATATCCATATTTTAGTTCAACGGTCAAGAATATCTACTTGTTTACAGTGGTACCTATAATTGCTATTTTAATTGTAAGCATTTGGAGTTTATAAAGTTGCCTGTGTTTTGTAGATTGCGGCGACGGAGCTTATTCGTGCGCGCAATTACGGCTTCTCGACACGCTATAAGAGCATCCCTCTGGTACACAATTTGTCTGAGTAATAACAATTTGTTTTAGATTTTTATTAATTTGTATAAATTTCTTTATCTTCTGGCCTTTGGATACACCGTGGTCTCTATGTTTACCCACATTGGAAAAATTGTTGTGGGCCGACTTCGCCCCAACTTTTTCGATGTTTGCGGTCCGGTTGCTGTAACTGAAACGGCATATGGATATATAAGTGAATTCAGATGTACCAAAACTGACGCCTACTTAATCAGAGAAATGAGGTTATTTCACACACTCATTGTTCATTCCTTTTAAATGCCTATAAATGTGGTCCATTTTTTATCCATTTAACCAGTCTGATAGCTTTGTTGCTTCTTGAAACCTACTTGTCACCTCATGGCTTTGCTGGATTGTTTGTTTATCTTATTATTTATTCTTCGTAAAGTTTAATTAAACAATATCTTTACCTCGAAATGTCTAGGAATGGCGGCTGAGAGCGAGCATTATTATTTATCTGCTTCCATTAATTCATAAACAACCATCTGTAAAAACATTTAACTTTTAGATTATCATTCCCATCAGGTCACTCTGCCTACACCATGTTCCCAGCCATCTTCATTGCAGTAAGCATTATAATACCACCCAAATTTGAGGAAATTTCCTAAAGTTCTCACTCCCTTGATCCTCCAAATCATTCTTTTATTTTTTGGACCTTGTCTCTGTGTGCGTCTGTTGATTATTTAAATAAACCTGAACCGGCTGAATCACAGAATAGAGTGAGAATTTGTGCCTTTCAAGGTCTATCTTATGTTTAGACCACACACTTACACAAAAGTTTTTTGTATGCTTAGACGACTGGTATCGGCCGACTTTTTTCAGCTTTTGCTACTGAAACGATAATCATGTCTTAGTAAATACGTCACTTCAATTGGTTCTAGCATTTCTAAAGGTTAAATCAGGCTACCTCCTACACACTCATGTGACTTTATGGGATGCCAGGCCTTTGATTATATTCATGTGCCTATAACATGTGTCACAAGAGTTTAGTTCAATTAGCAATTTGGACAGACACTATCTATTGCTCAATGCAGCACTATTTTTTATTTGCCTATTGGCCAATCCGATTAGGCAGAATTTCTACCATTCTTAAGTTGTGTAAACGACGATTTACGTTGTGTGAATGACTCACGCACCCAGGGGTCCTGCTATGTCACTGTTCCACTGCAAAAACACACTCAGGGAATGAAGTGGAAAGTGGACGTGCGCGCATGCATTGGTGGCGACGTGTATTTAAATCCTTGCTAAACATGGTTGAAAAAATGTGCATCTTATCGCCTCCCGATTTGACCACATCGCCTGCCATTTTTATGCCTTTATGTAAAAACTATCCTCCTATAGACACCGTGAAAATTCTTCCGTTAAGTAACCATAACAACGATGCATTGAAGTCTTTTTAGTCAATAGAATTGTAGCTGTTCTTAGAATTTCCATTCCTCTCCCTCTGTATCTCTCTGAACTTGGCCCATTTCGAAACAATCTGTAAATTAGCTTATGCATTTTAATGTATTCTGCCATAGTGAATTATTAAGCATATATTCTGTCTTATGAGTTTGATTCGGGTGCTATTTGCCAACAGGTACTCTTCTGTTCCTTAGTTAATGTGAGTTTGATTGGTGTCACAAAGCAAAGCTGGTTGAACCACAGAAACGGAAGGTTGCTTGAACAATAATAGCGGGTAATGTGAAGACTACAGACAGGCGACAACACGAAATACAACGAAAGTCCATTTATCCACTCGGGGTTACCGAATAACTTATGGGTGTCCCTACATTGCTGCCTACCACACATTGCGATGGAGATGCCCAATCTGGAGGCAGTGGGAAAATACCAACACGATGGAAACGCCTAGTTTACTACTTGAATCCTTTCTAAAGTCTACCTATTATTGAAGAAGCATCAAAGATTTTGTAATGCTAATAAATTCTTCTAAATCGTTGGGATCTTTCTCAAGTTCCGCTTCCTTGCCGCCTAATAGACTTAATTAGAAAGTAAAAGCAGAATGCAAAATTCATTGTGATTCTTATGTCGTTTTTTGAGGAACATTCCAGGAGAAGAATTAGGAAAGTAAGAATGAACATTCACATAGATCAGAGGAAGCAGGCAATGATATGGCGATTCAGACACTCAAGGCCACCAAGCACACTCGTGATTGGTTTGTAGGTGTATTTGCATTACCGTATGCCAGCCATCGGAATGGGTTCAGTGCTGCAGGCCTTTGTGCAAACTGCCGCTGTGACAGGCGCCTTCTACGTCGGTATGACACGAGTCTCTGACAACAAACACCACTGGACAGACGTTCTCGCTGGCATGATAATTGGCGCCTTGGTTGGTATTTTTGCCGTGAGTTTACCTCAAAATTATTGCGTTTGACTTCTAATTTTCTACTCACTGGAATTCTTTTTCTTTTACACCTATGCAAAGTTGATGGTAGAGGACGAAGGTCGGAATTTGAAAAGGTGCAGTTTTTTAACAAAACGCAGCCGAAGGGGTCTCCTGTTTGTACAAATCACTCTCTCAACTTGATTGGTCTTTCCAAATCTAAGTCTACTGTTTCCATTGGCTACATTTCCACCAATCAGATTTAGTTGTCCTTAGGTTTCTTGATCTTCACATTTAAATCCTGACTACACTTTTATGTGAAAAGGCTACTCTTCCATGAAATTTATACATGATCAAGCAGGTTTTAAATTGTGAGAACTTGGACCCACAGTAGATGGTTTTGTTGCCATCCTTTTTCCCTTTTAACCTTTGCGTGGGTGGGCGAAGCCAGTGGAAGGCTTGTTTTTGGCCTCTCCGACGCCATTCCCACGAGTACATTCTCATTGTCATAGCGAAGCATCTTGCAAATTCACTTATCCATAGAATGCAGTAGGTGGCATAAATTTTTATGCACGAGCGTGTGTACTTAGCGTATGGGACACCTCTGTTCACTCCGTGGCCAACTATGCATGTTTTGCTCATGTCACGTCATTTCGGTGCCTCAAAAATGGCAGTGCCGCTGTGGTTTTAATTTTCGGTTATAAAAGTACCCAATTAAGTGGTATCTTCGAGGATTATTTTCAGAATGAACTTATTTCGCTTCGGTGAATGCCACTTGTAAGTAAAAGTCTAAACCCAGGTAGGCATTAAGTTGTGCAAAAGCTTCTTTGAAATTTTAAATGCTTTTGGAGGAACCTCATGTCATTTTGAAATGAATGTTCCATTTTGTAATTCTCCATGTGACTCATATTCGAAGTTTGAATCGCTTGGTGGAAAGAGGTTTCTCAAATCATCTACTCACTATGTACCACGCCTGCTCGGATTCCTACTTCGGTACTTCAAGCACCTGGCACATGGTTTTAAAAAGGGCCACTCAAAATGAAATGGTATTACCACTTGAAACGGGGCCTTGATCTTGAACCTTTCAAATACGTGTTTACCCAGCCACGTATTTTGTTACGGGTTTGGGTCAGCGAGCTTATCTCTCGGGATATTCGCATTTTGCGTAGTCGCGTCGCAACTTCGTAGCTAATCTGCCTCCTTGCCAAAGGTACTCAAGTGTATTCTCCTCTCATTGGTCGTGCTTAAGTAAAGTCAGCCCTTAAGGACATAATCTGGGCAGTCGACTTTCAATCGCCTCCGTCTTCCCGAATGAGTTGTCTGACAAATGGACTTATTTCCACGGTAAAGTTGTTCATACTTCTATGTATGGGTAACAGTGGCAGGTGTTTTGTCAAACACACAACTTTTACAGCCTTATTTCTTTTGTTGAATGAATTTTTCAAAGGCACATCGTGAATGAGGCAAAATATTTCCTCAATTTGTTTAAATTACAGAAGTACTGCAAACCAAGACTTCAACTTACTCATTATCTTTCCAGTAGATCTACCATACTTCCGTAAACTTTAATTGTTGAAATATGCCTGGATTTGCTTTGTTTTGTTTGGACCTGAGTTTGTCGGAACGCATCGAAAGGCGGCCCTAGTGTCTCACTGAGCGCCTAAGCCTCACCATTTGTGCTTCGAAAGCTGTTTGACCCTTCACAGCAGCAAGTGTGCAGTACTCAAAACATTCCAACACCTCAGAGGTGTCTGACTTCCAAGCTGTAAATATTTTGTTCATTCAAATGACTTGTAGGATCCTCAATCCATTCCCAATGTTTGAAGATGGTTTCGTACTAGCTCAGAAGACCATACACCCAAGGCGATTAAAGAAATCACATGGTTAAAGGTGTTTAACCTTGCATAATTTTACGCTGGATTAATGCACTCTCCTAAATGGCAAAGTTTATAGCTCATCGCTCCCCTCCCTCTGCCACCTTCCAGGTTCGCTACGCTACAGACGTGCGTGAATTCGACGCCGCGGAAGCGGAGGAGGTGGGGTAGAGGGCATCGCCTCACTCGTCTAATAGCAAGCTCCGTCTAAACACCTCGTTATATTCGGTGTGGAATTCAACCCTCCCTCCTTTATTTTGCGCCTTCTCCCCCACCCCACATACCACTACCTTCACGCCCATGTTTTGTGTCCTTATTTTGCACTTCTAACTCAACTGGTTTTAAAGTCTATGAAGCCGCGCCAGGAATATATGATGTGTATGCTCACTTGTATGGGTGTTTTGGTGTCTTCTCTTCACTTTCCCATGGCAGGTGGTCGCGTGCTTGCTTCTGTCACGGGTTGACTGCAAGTGGGGCGAGTTAAGGGCGTTCTTCTTCGCCTCCACCCAGTAGTATTAGACTGCTCTGTTTTGACTGTCAGTTGGCTTTGTTGGGAAAATTGTTCTTTTACTTACCACTGGGGAGGATGGATGAGAACATTTTCAGCTGGGTAAATGCCTTTCACCACCATTCTAAACTCTGCTTGATCACTTGCTGACTTTGGTAATCGGAAAAAAGTTATTATGAGTTGATTCCCTAAGCTGGGAGCTTGTGCGTACTGTTTTTCAGGCAAAATTTCCTCTAACTCACGAGTTCTGTTTGATTGAATGAATTGCAAAAGAAGTGGTTTAAAGGTGTAACTTTCTCACCATGAAAATGCGCTTCTTTCAGATCTGTAAATTACAATTAAAAGTCAGCAAAGACAATCCAGTTAGCTTTTGTTGTTGGTTAAAAAGCTGAAATTCTGCTTTGTATCATCGTTTTTGAAATTCGTACCGAGTTTGACAGGCAACCGCGGGTTGAATACTACTTTAGCAATTGTCAGTAGTGGGCTGAGGTGAGACCGCTTGGTTATTGAAGTCTTATTTTTGCCCATAAATTGAACTTAAAATTAGAACACTTACCTGTGGCCCAGTCGTTGAATTAGATTTGAGTTTTTTTTAAAATTTGTTGTCATACAAACTTTTTGCACATATGTGTGACTGACTTCAAAATGCTCCCTTGATCATTATCAGGTTCTACCCTGCTTTGAAGGTGAGCAAGTTAGGCACAGATTCACATAAACACTTGCAAGAGACTGTACTAATTTGACCTGAGGCAGATTCTGTATGCAGGAATCATGGTAACATCGTAGGCCGTAAAAGTGATTCCTGTGCGTTGAACTGATGCCCCTTTTAAGTGTGACACGGAATTAACACCACTTCTATCATTACAGTGTAGAAGTTAAAGCCCGTATTAAGGGCTATACAGGTCGCAAATTAATGTAGCAAGTGAAGTTCCACACCTTCTGGTAAAAAACAACGGATGGTTCTAAGGAAAATCACCGTGTAACCAGTGTAGGGGGAAAAACCTCTAATCAAGGCCATCAATCATACTGCTTTGGGATGTCCGTACTTTCCCCCTTTTTGTCGCATACATCTTGATTTAATTAACAAATTCAGGTAGTTGCGTTGTTACTGGCGCCTCCTACGAGAGGAGGTACCGGGAAGGCCTACAACTCCTGCGACACCGCGCTCCCACACAGCCCGTCCCAGTTGGCTGATATCGTGCAGGGGTGTACTTTAAGTGTACTAATAATTGCCCTAAGGTCGTGAACAATCAAATGCCATAAATGCGAGGCGCCTCTGGCAGTCTTCGTTGTCCAGCCGGCTGTTACGCATGCGAGCGCCGACCGCCTTGCCTAATCATACACGTCGGTGAATAAAGACCTCGGTATCCATGGCTTTGTTTACCGTTTACTCGGGCTGACAGGCATACAGGAGCCAAGTGCACACACGCACACACCAGTTTCTAAGAGTAACTGATTGACACATTTCCTTATCGGGCAGGGCGTATGCAAATGAAATGTCAAAACCCGAGCATTAAACGGGACTGGTGTGAGTTAAATCCTCTGGCCTAGACATTGCCTCTAACCTCTTAAGGCTCTTGACATGGACGAATAGCTACTCTGTTCACCTAGTTTATAGGGCTTTATTCCCCAGCAATTTTGAGAGTGATGAACTTTCGTGCATGACCTCGTGAATGTAGTAAAAGTTTCCTTATCTCTCTTCCATCATCTCGCCTTAAAAAGATGAAATAGAAGTTGGGTTAATCCAAAATTATGGTTAGAAAATTTTTTGGAAGGTTCTTCATCATTTAACTCTGGCAGGATTTTAATGTTGGGAATTTAGGCAATTTATTTCTCAACAGGGTATAAATCCACTTTTCTAATTGCGCACTTTCTTTGTTGGGAATTTGCCAGTTATTTGAGAGGAGGTGTCAGACAAAAAATGCCGTCAGAATCACAATGGGGGCGGTTTTACCTATTCAAAGCATCAGGCGGTTCACTATCTCTACTATTGTTGGACTTTGGATTATCTGAATAAATGTGTATTTGTATCGAAAATCGTGATATTATCTATGGGAAGGGTGTGATCCCCTCAAACTGTGCATATTTCTTATTTACGCTTATATCCCTACTTATAAAGTAAAATTTTGTCGTCATTTCTTTAGCACTTGCTACCGAACAACGTAGAGACCTTAATGTAGTGTAATTACATAATACTTTCGCAACCTCATAAGGCCTATTTCACCCACGGAAAGTCACAAGATGAAGCAGCTCTGGTAACTCATACATGGTATGGGATTTTGAATACACGCTTGGCAGAGGTGACGGTGAGACATGCGCACCAACTCATTTGTCATGTCACACAAAACTTTCTTTACTACTTTTAACAATTGAATGAACAAGCCAATTGGGTTTTGGCACTATTTTACCCTCAATTTACATTTGGTAGAGAGAAAACTTACCACAAAAGTGCAACCTATTGTCTAACTAAGAAAGTGCAAAATCTACAATGTTTTACACTTTGCAATGGGGTAAGTAGGGAAGGCAATTGTACCTGCTTCCAGTCGGCAGAGACAGAAATAAAGGAAGGCACTAGTATGAGTGATTTTATGCTTAAAATATCATTTTTTAGGTTAATTTGTGCAAGGGATTATCCTAGTTGATTCACCTTTCTATTTTCAATTCTTATCTCAAAAAAATTTTCTACTTAATTTGGAATCTACCTCAATAACGCCTGAGTGCAAAAGTCAGTCGGTGAAACTGGGTGCCGGGAGCCTCCCACCATAGAATTTGCAAAACATCAATGAAAGTCTGCAACCGCCAACCGCAAGTTGGCCACCCGGAGACTTTCCTGAAGTGGAAAGGAGTCGCAATACTCGAAAAGAATATGCATTGCCGATGAATAGAGGGACTGAGGAGCTGCAGCCATAGCCCCCCCCCCCCGCTACCTCCTCTTCTCTTTCAATCGGCGCTCCCCTCAGCCATCACCGCGTAGTCGGTGCTGTGCGAATAAACATTCACGAACCGACCGAACCAGTCATCGTGGTCGCTTGGAACTGAGGGGCTATTTGACCGCAATGTCACTGGTCCCGCTTGACATTTCCTTCGAATCTAAGGTTTCGTCACGCTTGAGAATTGGCTTGTGGGATGAGGAATATGCCTAAAAGCAGAGTCATTTAATAAAGGGTGTTGGGAGTAAAGCTTCTCCTCTATCGCTCCTTTCCACTTTGTTCTCACTTCAATGCTACCCAGTCATAACTATGTGGGTTTGATCCATCTGTATCGGATATTCACCTAGTCACCACTTTTATACAGGTGCCACAGACAGCTTCGTAACAAGCTTTGCCTAGATGGTTCGTGGCTAGTGTCGCTTCAGTTCCTGCAGACTACGGGACTGGGATGGTTGCCAAAGATTGGCGTCATTTTTAACCCCACCTTTAGGGGTCGTCATAGATTCGCCCATCCCCAGTACATGTCCTTCTTCCTTCACGTTAAGGTCCAGCTATCAACGCTGGAACTGAGGGTGGTTGACCTTTAAGATCGGGTTCACTTTCCGCTGCCATCAGTGTAGCACCCCCAGACTTCTCTAAAGATGAATGGAGACACTGCTGGGAAGCAAAATTGTACTGTAGACATACGGAAGGTCTGAGAAGCAGGCCGCCGACACTGTCCAGCGGCCAAGTCGCCTAGTGGAAGTGCCCATGTAAAAAAAACTGAGAGTCCAGCAAACCGTCAAAGTATTACAGGCATCATGATTCCTTCAATGAATTTTAATGTAATCCCTGAGTGAATATTTCCCGGTATTTATTAACTTGATCAAGGGAATTCATGCGGTTTTTCCTTTCGGGTAACCGCAAACAGTTAGCTGTTACTTACTTCGATGTATTTAATATACGGAATTTATTATGGGAAATAAAAATCACAACCAACACAGGAATGTCACACGTCGGGAGATGTCATTCGGAGTTGTTTGCTTTGCAATCGTCAAGGCTACTCGAGCTGTCGGTTGTAATGGTAGGCACTCCGAAGGAGGGTGAAAATGAATAGAATGTGATTTCCACAATGAATGACTCGACTGGGCATTGTGTCTACCGTGGCGCTCTATTCACCAGAACCAAAAAAACTCAGTAATTAAAGTGTTTTAAGTAACTTGATGGGAAAGAGACCAAAACAACAATTGGTGGGAGGTGTAGTTGGGTGAGGCGACATTTAGTTTGCGTCTACATCAAGTGGGAAGGGAAACTCGTGGAACCCGATGGACATGCGAGTCGCATATGGGAAAGGCGAGGTCTCAAAGGCTACCAATTCGTTCTCCCTCGCTTCTTTTAATTCGCTTGCATTAGTTTAGCTTCTTTGTTGGCTGACTGACAGATTAACTTGGGCTGAGAAGTGGCCGTTGAACTCTGACACTCGAATGCATCTTGGGCTGTTCCCCGACAATCCATTCACTAACCACTCAACACTTTCGAGACGCGTACCGCTTTATCCCCAGGGGACTACGCATTCCTTGTATCTGCTACGTGTGGTGCACTGCAGATACAATGATTTACAACGCCCTGTTCACTTGCCGAAGGCAAACATTTGTGGCTGAGATCCAAGCGCCCGACATGTCTGGACATGACTTGGGTGCACAAGACGCGCTTCTCCTCCCCCCCTCCCACACCCCCACCTCCGCATCCTGACACCCTCTAGAAAACCCATGGGCGGTGACTCAATTAAAGGAATGTGCTCTTCTTCCACAAGGCAACACCCTGGCATGACCTTGCCATGGAATGGAAATGCGATAATGACCTTAATTCATCTTTCACATCCTTCATCTCGTGGTAAATGTCATTTGGAAATGTAGAGGATCAGAGACAACTTTTCCCTTGCCTTCTGAAGGCAAAACTTGTCAAAGCCGAATTGGGAAGAGGTTTAGAATTTTTTTAATTATTAGTGAAATTAGCGAGCCCAATTTGTCGAAGTAAAATATCTCAAGCCACAAGCGTGCTTTACCTGGTCATGAACAAATTTGTTTGCCCACCTTAGTTCCTCCAAAATGGAAAATGACAAATCGGAAGGCACGCCCAAAAACACAGCCAAGCAGTTGGAAAGGGCCAAAGCATTTGCTCGACAATGAAAGAATCAGAATGCCTTGTGAATGAAATGCTGGAGATGTGGGGCCAGGAATTCGCTAGTCCTCTTTAACGGGAGACGGAGTCGTGGCCACATCCCTCGTCCACTCGCCACTTAAAAGTGGAATGTCTGCCACTTGTAAATTCCAGTTTTCTTCAAGCAGGCAAGGCAAAACTGGCCTACGTACCTCTGGGCAAAATGTACGATAAGTATATTTTGTCAAAAAGTCACCTAGAATTGCCTCAAGGCAAGAGGTGTGTCGTAAGGAGTGTCTGCTTCATTTCACCTTCGATAGACTTGATCCGGACAGATAAAAGGCTGATTTCCATGGAGGGGAATGAGCTCGATCCCTCCTCCCGAAGTAAAGCCCATGGTTGAATTCCTCACAAACTATCTACTCAATTAGATATCAGTGTCACGACATGACCTAGGTCAATTACTCTCGTTCCCTCGAGCTCATTCATTCAGGCCAGGGTGTAGCAAAGATCGAAGAAACTGGTAGTCTGAGAGGAGGACGAAATTGAAATCACAACAGTATAACTAACTGTTGATGGGCCTAACTACTTCCCCCAAAAGCGCTTTCATTCTTTTTGTTTCCTTTTGGACAAAAAAAAAAAACAGAAAACGCCCGCTAGTACGGCAAAGTGAGAGCCAGGACAAAGGTAATTACTGAGTACGTATTTGGCAAGTCGAACAAGGAGATAACACCTTGTCAGAAATTGTGGACAAAGTTGTTTAAAGGTTATTTCTATCACCTTCCCGGGGGACCTTCTCCAGTGATGTGCCACCTGAATGAAAAAATTTCCCAAACATCTCGTGGTTCTTCAGCACAAACCCAATGAGTCACTGATGAGGGATTTCAAGGCCACATTTCCTGAGGCTACCTTGAAGATGCTAAAGGATGGTAAATGCATGTGGCTAAAACCTAATTATAAATGGACAGGAGAGCTAACGGATTCAGTCAAGTCATGAGCAGATCGTCACACTGCAACGGTAGTAACCGAACCCTCGAAGACTTGAGATTTTGCGTTGTTACCTGAGCACCGTCCTGCTGCGCCCACGTGGAATTTTGGCGCGAGGCGCATAGCCGACTACTCGATTTACACCACAGCAGCACAGTCGGTACAGAAAAACCGACCAATTAGCCTCCGCGTTTTGCTTCAGCTTTCAAGTTCGCCTTCCGAAGGCATGATATTAGTAAAAACTTGTCCAAAGTCCAAGATTAGCAAAGAGGCCATCAACCGTCAAGGCTAGATCGGAAATATTATAGATACTTTTGTCATCCTCCCACTGAAAGGAACGGAAAGGTAAGTGGACAGGTAGGAAGAGCAAGAGACCATGCAGGTGTGTAATAGGAGGGGGTTAATGTGAAGAAGGAAGAAGACTAAGTTAATGGGAAAACGAGTCCATGTGTCCACCGCCTACAGTGCAGGGCGCTGATCATAAGCACCGAGGGTAGGCGGTGGCGGCATCGGAGCACCGAAGGGGCCTGAGGGCGGACCGCCAAGCTGCAGTGGCATTCGCTGCATCCCCGCCTGTAGTTGTGGCGCGCCCGGCTGGAGTGGTGGTGATGACACACTTGGATGCGGTGGTGGTGGTGGCGCGCCCGAATGCGGTGGAGGTGGCACGCCTGGCTGCGGCGGTGGTGGTGGAACGCCCGAATGCGGTGGTGGCACGCCTGGCTGCGGTGGTGGTGGTGGCACCATCGAGGTGGGGAATCGACCGCCTGCCAATGGCATCGGTGGTGGCGGTGGAACAATGCTGCTGGCGCCCGACAATGGCGGTATCATGGACACTTGTGGGGGCATGTGTGACTGGAACTGACCAGCAATCTGAAAAAAAATAACAAGCAGGAGGACTAGCGCTAAATCTGAAGAAAATAATGCAGCAGAACGTCAACAACGCATAGGCATGAGGTCTGCCACTATTTTGCTCCATTAAATCAATGCGACTGGTCCTCCAATCTTTTAATCCACTTACAGACACATGACTTATAACGTCCTTAAAGGTGACTGGAACAATACGCCCAAATGGGAGTGGAAAAGTGGACACAGTAGACGGCAACTCACTAAGTCCAGAGCATGCATTCGAAGGATGGAAGGAGCGTTACCAAAGTCCAAATAACGGGCGCAACTATGGTGAATAAAACCTGCCACATCATCCACCACAGTCCACAAAAGGTACATTCCGCTTAAATTTAAGCTATTTAAGTTTAAAAAGTATATTTAGCCTCAAACCAAGGGTATTCTATGTCTACCCCATAGTTCCAAGTTCACCAGTCTATTTGCGGTACATGATTTGGTGGAACCAGTTACCATAAAGCAGGAAGGAACACATGTATTTGTTAAAGGATTTCACTAATAAATCATGTAAATGTCCCAGCAAATAGCATGCACTGTGGCCACACATGAAAATGATAATATGCCTTTGAAAAAAATTCCAGTTCAAGGGAGCAGGGATTAAACTCTCCTGCCCTCAAAAGCAACAGCCAGACCAATGCGATTGGGCAAACACGTCAGCGTTTTAAAATCAGTCGTTCGGGTAAAACTACGAGACAACTTATATGCACATTGATTCAATGGGAAGGAAGGCACATTTTTACCTCTAAACTTTTTGTGAGCAGTCGGTAGATATGATTTAGTCTACCTCATAAAAGCAACCGAAGTGACGCCTGTCTTGCTGCAATTTACTATACACGGGTATGATAGATTTTTTCATTGCACACAGTCAAGAAAACTTAAATCCTCAATTAATCTACTAAACTGAAGCGACGATCTGCAGACACAGATCACGTAGTTTACCAACTACTTGAGAGACAATTTTTTCCGATCAAATGTTACCAAAATATCAAGGAATTAGACTCACCGGGGGCGGAGTTGCAGACGCCGCAGAAAGTTGTGGTGGCCGTGGTGGTGGAATAGATTGCTGCTGCTGCGACTGCTGTGGAGGTGGCATTGGCGGCCCACTCATGAAAGCAGGACGTGGACCGGGCGGCTGGAGAGTAGGCTGCGAGGTGGACAGATGAGACGAAGCCATGTTAGTGGCGGGCAATAGCGCGTGTTGCTGTTGCATTTGTGTCTGTGTAGGTGGGATGGAGCCTAGTGGTAAAAAACTGCCTGCGGATGAAGCGAGATGCTGCGGTGGCTGTGGCGGCGTCGGTGCAACCCCCGTGATTGAGGATGTCGGCGGTGTCCTCATTGTGGTCACTACCGACCAAGGTAGTGCTTCATGCTGTAAGACGGGCACTGATGAAATCTGAAAGGAGCAAAGAGAACCGTATTAACTAAACCAGAAGATACGTATGATAGTACCGAAATTCGATTGATTGAATCAATCAGACATGTCTCATCGTCAATTGCACTTCGTAGTTATTGGTCGTAAATTTATATGCTATACCATCACACCATAAATTGATTCGGTCAAAGGTGGTGCAGTGACCGCTTCCTCGAAGACACTGAGCGTATGGGCTTGGGCGCACAAATTAACCAAACGTGCACAAACGCAATCACTAGGAGCCTGGTTGCAGCACACATACACAGCATTTAAACAGTTACGAGCTAATGACCACTTATTAACAATTAGTACGAATTTTTTTCCGCATACAGGTGGAGGCAATGATGCGGGAACGGTTGGCTGCTGTTCCGAAGGCTGCGACAATAATGGCTTCCTCAACGTCGATTCAAAAGGTGGAGCTGACGAGTCCTGTGGTGGAAATGGAGCATGATTAAGTTTGGGCGGTTCATCCGATGAAGCAGGCAGGGCACCATCGTCACAAAGCGGTTCCGAAGACCTCTACAACAAACCAAAATCCAGATTTTAGAATCCATCCATTTTGCATAAAAAAGGCTAGCATATGGAAAATCAAAATAAAGTAGTAAGAAAAGCAGTGTTTGCGAGAGAAATAACCTCAGGAGACGGAGAGGCAGCAGCACTGCGAGAATTCATCTTCGATTCCTGCTTAGAATCTTGCATAAACTGGTCAAATTTCTCCGAAAGTTTGCTAAATTCTTCACGAAGACGCTTGATTTCTGTGAATAAACCTTCGATGTCAAGTGAGTGTCTGGTATTTTCGCCATATATAGCTTCATTGGCGAATAACTCCGCTGCCTGAGGAACTAGGAAAATTTCGGAGATACGTATAAAAGAAGACATAAAGATGCTAGGTATTTAAGACGCACAGATAATACAATAAACCTGTATTATAGTCAAGATCAGCTGTTGAAAAATCGACCTCCGGGAAATATTCAAAATACATTAATTTACTCGACAGCAACATGTAATGAGGCTATGCATATTCATGGCAAATATTCTAAAGGGAAGCTAGACAAATGCAAGAACATGACATACAACAATAAATAAGGAAACTAATACACTGGCTTACCGACGAGCTTCAGGCGTAATGTTTTGTACTGACGAATGGCGTAGGATAAGTCAAACTCCTCTGCGATAGTAATATACTCATCATCTATCAAGTGGATGTAAGAATAGAAGATACATACCCTCATCCTTGTATTTTATGGTAAAGCTTTCCAAGTAATCAAGTTTGGGTTTAAATACACGCTGCATCATCAATATGAGCTCGTCATAGGTTAGCTCTTCATTGTGGATGAGAATGCGACGCAAGTCATCGCCCAATTGGGCTTTGATTACCAATTTCCCCACGAAATCTCCATCCGTCTTCGCAGCCACAAACGACATATCAAACAGAAGTGAGGTGTTGGCGCAGCTTTGAAATTGCCGCGTGAGGAACCGATTTCAACAAACAAAGAACGTCATGTTTGTTAAAAGTCGCAATATCAATCGTAAAAAATCAAAAAAAATTATTTTAAACAAAATTTGCATTCGAAAAAGGGTAGTATAGAAAGTAATGGCTACCTTACAATCAACCTAGATGGATTTATCACAAAAGGCATTATAACAATTTAGCTTAAGTGCTTTTTTAATACTTAAGAAAAAACTATTGAATGTAAGTTATCTTTAAACCTCTACAGGCTTCTAATTTTCAGCCAATACATTTCTTTCGATAGATTATTCCGTTGCCATCTAGTTTTTAAGCCATTGAATGTTAGTTTTATCTGGCTGGCTGTCGTACTCTCTTTGGGTATCAAAATAGGTGCAAAATATTTTGCACCTTCAAATACATTAACATTAAGGTGCCACATAGCTACTGTTTTTAGGCAAGTGATAATTTGTCGAAGGAGATTGTAAAAAAATACTGATGTAAAAACATTCTGATTTTGGGTGAGATATGTTTAGTGAGGGTAATAATGTGATTGTTCATTCTGTCCAAAAGATGACCTTTAATCGGAGTTGTCCGTCTGTGACGTATTCAAAAGTCTGCGATACGAAGTGTCATAATGAGTTCTTATGAAAACGCCAAATCCATTGCTGACTACCTCAGTGGCGTTGTTCCTCAGCTTCCAGAGATTGGTATCATATGCGGCTCTGGTTTAGGTGGCTTGGCTGAGTTGGTTACAGAGGCTACTGTTGTCAAGTACTCTGATATAAAAGGATTTCCTAAAAGCACTGTCGTCGGGCATCCTGGTAACCTTGTATTTGGAAAACTTGCTGGTAAAGACGTCGTACTTATGCAAGGACGATTTCATCCGTATGAAGGCTATGAGATATCTCAGGTAAGGAAAATATTTGTCACTTTTAACATTATAGGTCATCCTTCCTATACGCGTTATGAAACTCCTCGGTGTTGAGACCCTAATCGTTACTAATGCTGCTGGTGGTTTAAATCCCAAGTTTAACGTCGGTGACATGATGATCATCAAGGATCACATTAGCTTGCTTGGTTTAACCGGAAAAAACCCACTCGTTGGTCCAAATGAGTCTCAGTAAGTTTGATTCTTCTAGCTAATCTATACTTTTTTTAGTTTTGGGCCCAGGTTTCCAGCATTGAATGGTTTATACACAAAAGAGCTGCGTGAACTGGCAAAGGGATTAGCGAAGGAACTGAGTATTGAACGATACCTGCAAGAAGGTGTGTACATTGCCCAGATGGGTCCCTCCTACGAGACTCCAGCCGAGGCTCGCTTCCTGCGAATGATTGGTGCCGACGCAGTTGGAATGAGTACCATACACGAGACGGTCGTTGCAAAGCACGCGGGCATGAAGATTTTTGGCATGTCTCTCATCACCAACAACATTGTGGTGGATGAAGACAGTCAAGTTAACTGCAATCACGAGGAAGTCCTTGAGACCAGTGCTAAGCGGGCGGAGATAATGAAAACCTTCGTGAAAAAGCTTGTTGAAAAGCTATAGTGACCTCTTAAATTTAATGATGCCCTTTTACTATTGCTTTGTCACATAAATTAGAATAAATTTGGTTTGAAAATTTCACCACTGGGGTCATTAGTCCATTTTCATTTTGTGTTTCTGGGTATAAAACTGCTAAACTTTTGGTATTGTCTGCAATAAAGTGCTATATTTATGGAATCCCTTAAAAATACTCTGTCATAGGATTTAGGCTTGCAACTCCGAACTACTGAAATTGGTCTCTGGTATTCTACTTACCAGTTCCGGTCTGAAATACATGGAACATTTTAAGATTAACGAATCCTATCTTGGCCGATCTCGTAACTCATTGTGATAACAGCATGATTCTGCTTTTTAACTAGTCATCATGTAGGTGTGAAAACCTTTAGTCGTCCAATACTGACGGAGCAATAATTCCCTCGTTAAAGTGGGAATTTATTTTAATGTCATGTCTCATAATGGTTAGACCAGTCAACGCGGTGTATCGAACAATTCTTAATGGGTACTAATACAGAGTATCTGTGCCTCGACCGTGTGGTGGATGAATCATCTAACTTCTTTCTGGGCGTCTGAATGGAAGTAGGTACAAGGAAAGGCGGGTGTCTTTTTGGTAGTGGGAACATCTAGAGTCCTTTTGTGGATATTTTGAGAAATGCAAGAGTCTGCAAAGCGTCGACTTGCCTTCCTTTTACCCTCGCTTGCGATTGGTCAGCTGGAGGCTGCCAACAGAGTTTTGTCTCCCACCCAACGACCACGAGGCAACTTCATGCCCAACACATAAGCAGTAACTAGGTCTCCTTAACTTAACTCCGGAATTTCTGCTATTTCTTGAAGGAATGTGGGCTACTGTCTGGAAAACCTAATTTATTCTGACCGCAATTCCAGGTTTATAATAATTTCAGTCTCTGAAAGGAGGTTGTTGGTCATTCTTAATAAGTGCATGAAGTGCATGTCATTCAATAAGTGCCATCTTAGAAAATCTTTAAAGGCACCGGATGCACCAGTTGGTATAAAAGCCGGGTACGGGATTTTAGTCTCTAATAGCCGTGTTCCTAACATAAACGCTTAAATATTGCGTTTGGAATACCAAAAAGACCATGGCAATGATTTAGGACTTCTGTGCATGTGGGAAAGTCAGTTCGTGCATACATTATTCTTTTTGGGAGGAAATCTCAACTCTACTAGGGAAGAGTGCATAAAAATGTGGTAGACATGGATAAGCTTGTCTCTACACTAAGTAATAATTTTTAGTGGGAAAATGTCTAAACTTATAAGTCGGCCATTAGTTCAGAAAATCAAATTGAGGGGAAGGCCTATGTACTAAGATACTTCTCATTTGTTGGTGATTTCATAGCCTAAATACCGCACAAAGGTGATAAAAATGGTGACTAGCTTTGAATTTTTTGTGACTAACACCTAAGGTGCTTGAAAGTTAGTTGGCCAGACTATCATGTCCGCCAGGAACGTGTACAGCGGTGGGGGAAAATACAGCCGACGGATGGACTGATTTCGGACCCCCGTTAAATGAGTAATCTGAGCGTCCAAAAATTGGCACCCGACGAGAAGCACAGACAGAGGTGGTTCTGTACGTAAATGTCAGGATTTATTGCCAAACCGGGAGTTGTGCGGATCCCGCATATCACATCAAAGAACACGTGTGGCCGTGCGGTCAGAGTTCAGTCAACCGAAATCCAAAACATGGCACGTAAAACAATGGAAAAATGAAATGCAAATATATACAATTCCCGTTTTTGTTTTATGAAAAAAATGTTGGTAGTATTTGATAGGCTAAAACGCTGGACTTAAAAGTGGCTTGCCACTTAATTATAATGTAGTGAGTTCCATATAAATTCCCCATTATTCCAGTGGCAAATAAGTGTCTCCCTTCATGTGGGAATGCAATAAATCCGCATGGAGCCAAATAAGGGAGAAGTAGAAGTGTAATTATCTAGGATCCTGCATCCTCTCTGAGGCCATAATAAGCCAGACCATTAAGGGAGAAGCGATGTCAAGTATATCAAAGAAGGGCTAAAAGGCTCCCGGGGAGGCACAGTTTGAAGGCACTCCTACTAAGACAAAAGCACAAGTTGAGGATCTCAAACAGCTCAAGTAGATAAATGGATCCTTATAAAGGAAATAAATGCTAAGTTCTCCTCTAAGTCGAAGCCTTGTCGTCGACGCTCCCCCTTATAACGTCTCCGCTTTCCATGTAATCGACGTTAGTGCAAACTTCAACGTACCACGAGGCCAGTTGAAGACTGACCTAATAACATCGTGTTTGAGGGCCAAACCTGCCATTACGTAGTAGCAAATACCGTAAGTTTGTACGGGACTTCTCAAAACCACATTTAATATAGGACAAAGTGTATCACAGAAGAATTAGTTGAGGGTGATTGTAGCAGAAGCTGGACAATGTCCTATAGAAAGCCCTCCAAGGAATTAAATGTTGTCCATTAAAACGTACCCCCGTTCTGTACACTTCTATCCACCAATCTTAAATTCCTCAAGTTATTCTTTGTCATAAGTCATCTTCAAATCCACGTGTATCCCGAAATAACTTCTACCTCAAGTGCCTAATTTTGATTCAACCAAGTTTAACAGAATGAGACACAAGTTAGAGAAAACACAAATCTCACATATAAGCATGCTAAAGGATAAATGGGTACATAGAAGGACGGAGAAAGGAGTAGAAGATAGATGGATGGATGGATGG